CATAAAACATTTGCTGCGATATTTGTGGGAGAGAACGCATCCCCCGTCAAGCTCATTCATCGCGGCACAGAAGTCTTCAAATTTTTCTGCATAATACGCAGTGATATCTAGCCAGGTTCTCCAGCTTGTAATCACTGGAGCTGAGAAGAATGGTTTGTCTGGAACTTTGTTCTAGTTGGCAGTTTCACAAATATTTCCCCACAGTTAGCCATTGACTTGTCTACATTTCGATAAAGCACATGAATTGTTTCACAGACTGTACAAAGCTTGTACTGCACAAGTATCATATATTAATTCAGAGTGGATAACGTCCTCCTGCTGGTTTTCTTTCGTATGCGGTAGCGTAGTTGTTTGAGGCACTATGCTACAAGCCCAAAGGTCACGGTTTCGATTCCCGATTAGATCATTGGATTTTTCAATTGACCTAATCTTTCCAGCCGCACTGTGGCCCTGGGTCCGACTCAGCCTCTAACAGAAATGAGTACCAGGTATCTTCCTGGGAGTAAACGGTGGCTGGCGCGTAAGGCTGACAGCCTCACTGCCGTCTGTGAGCCGATTGTCTAGAAAATGTGGGAGCATCGACGTCTCACAACCCTACGTGCCTCCACGGCCTATTATAGGGATAGCGTTGCCTTCTTACCTTTACGGTGTGGCATCCGTAATTATCAGCAACACGTCAAATTTCGCGCCATCTGGCCACAGAGTCTATACAGTGTCATTTAAAACACGCCATATTACTGTGTGAATCACTCCAGATATTTCCTGGCATGAAAGAAGAAATTATTTGTCTGGTAAGGTTTGATCATTTTTGAAATCCCCACCAACAACATTTTCAGCCTTCCTTCCACTTGCATCGATTGTTCCTTCTGTGGTCACCTAGATATTTTCTTTCGCGCACATTGCTCGACTTTTATTCGTAGTTTCTTGCGCTTCTGTAGGTAGTTTTACCTCTATATACTTCAGGAGGAAATTCCTTCCAGTTACAGATTGCCTGCCCGATCGACCTTTTAAGGTGACAACAGAGGCAGTATGCTTGTTTCCACTTAACTGTCTTGTAACTTGAAAACGCTGTTGTGCGATAGTGGATTCTCCACGTACTTGGCGAAAGAGAACTTTGCCATGAGAAGTGAAATTCATTGACGTACTGACGTAAACAAGAACAAGTACTAGAGTTCTCCTTTCCCATCGTTATAAAACAATCTCAACCGCTTCGCCACAGTTAAATTATAAAACTGCGTTACTAGGAGCAAGCTTCGTGGTGCTCCGTAGCGGCCGATACTGTGTGCCCAGTAGCAGTGGTCATAATTGTCATCATGTCCTGATTGCCTAGACAAAACACACACGGGCGATTGTCTCTCTGTCAGCAAGTTTTGCTTATGTATGCTCCTCTTAAAGCGCGTCCACATTACTCGTGCTCGTGTGACTCGCTGTGCTCGCGAGTAATGTGGACGATATGACAAGTTACGAGACAAGCAAATTTTTAATTTAAAAACTATAGCCAATAAATTAAAATACGACTACAGCCTATACACACTACGAGTAAATATACGGATCCTCACGCGCCGAAGCCTGGCGAGCAACTGAAGTAGTGTGGACGAAGATTTACAAACACAAGTAAAAGCCAGACGAGTCTCCCGGCGAGCACGAGCACGAGTAATGTGGACGCGCCTTTACACTTAAGTTGCTGAGCCCCCACGTCAGAACAAAGAATACACTGGACTACGTGTCGCTTGTCTCGATGTTCTGATAACAGGCTGAGCAGAAGAGTGAAATATTCATTTGGAAGCGCTCGGGATATGAAGCTGTCCACCGAGGTTAAGAGTAGGTCTGCATGGGTGTAGATGTTCATTCCACTCCACGCCTTCATGTAGCAATGTGTAATTAATTAGGCACAGGGACGGCTCTTCTCCGGTATTTGTACATGTACATGTATAGCCCAAAACGTTTATTTGCATAAAAATATGGAAATACATGTTCTCTAATGGCATAAAGCTCTGTTATAAGCACTAATCATGGTAACTTGTAAAGTTACACTGATTTTTTTAACTTCAATAGCTGCAAAAAATATTTTAACGTAGAAATCCGTTCCTAGTCATGTCTTGTAAATACGAAATAGACCGCTTTATGCAGTAAACCTTGTATGCTTGTCCCTGGAGACGAAACAGCTCTTTGCACATGATTTTGTAGCAACCACCAGGCTTGGAAGACGAAAGAGACGAGGAATGCCGAAGAGTTTTATACGGTAGATGATTTTTATACTCAGATTGTATAAGTCACTGTCCATAATATTTCGAGATAAAAGTTCTGAATAGGTAGAATGATAAATGAACATAATTTTATGTCATAGGCCTATAACATCAACAAATCAGGAAATGTACACATAGCGTAACAATTCTGACACAAGATACTGGACGTAAATTGTGTGCTTCATTTTTTTTTTCTGCAGCGTCTGTTCAAAACATCTTTCGCTCGAATGAATGTTCGGCACGTCGGACACAGAGTGCCTCTAGAAGCATGCGTAGGTCTTCACGTAAAGTGCCTGTCACGTTTGTCCAGTGTTATCCAAATTTGATATCAACAAAATAAAATAAAATAAAACTCATCAATGGCAAATTTAATGAAAATTTCTCTCAGCGGTTCTCGAGTTTGCTGCATGTGAAAACACAGACGAGTAGACGGACAGATATGATAGAGCTGATAGCTATATTTTTTCAATATTTCTTAGCGAATACAGTAACAGAACGGTAGACGCGGAAGGGTAGGAGAGGAGAGTGTGAGATTTCTGGGCTGAATGTTCGAAAAAAGAAATGAGCTCAAGTCTGATGCCATATTGCGTTTATCGTTGCCAGGGAAGGTATACAACGATTTTGAACAGAAGGTCCGCGTTTAAACAAGATGTAACCACGCTCATGATTTGCTGCATGTGCCCTTCTCACCCCAATGAGATTCTGTGCTGTATACAGCACCTCCCCTGCTTTCCGCAGGCTAAAGCGAAGTAGAATAGGCACGGTGTTTAACGATGTAATTATGAAGCTGTGATTAGATCACCTGGGCCCGATATTCAGGCCTCATAGAGAAAGTTGAGACATCAGCAACTGAGCCTTCTGGCACAGATATGATCATCCGTCCGTCCCTCCACAATAATGACTAGAATGGCTGATGGCATGTGCATGTAATGTTTGTAAGTTGGGGGAACTTGGAAAATCGGATTTACTAGGGAGTCAATCCTATAGTAATTAAACAGAAGAGTCAAGATTGTGTTAACAATGATTTGGTTTCATGTTGCTTCTAATTAAGTCTTGTGATGTTACTTGTGCTGCATGTGAAAAGTGCAGGTATCCCTGTAACAGTCCGTGGAGGTCCATAGCGCTGTGAGACGTCGAGGCACCCACATTTCCTAGACAATCGTCTTACAGATGGCGGTGAGGTTGTCAGCCTTACGCGCCGGCCACCCTTTAACCCCCAGGAAGATTCCTGTTAGAGGCTGAGTCCACTCCAGGGCCATAATGCAGCTGGAAGGATTGGGTCAATTAAATAATCCAATGACCTAATCGGGAATCGAACCATCCTGCTTGTAGCATAGTGCCTCAACCAACTACGCTACCGCGTGCCTCCTGTGCTGCATCTGAAGATATGTATTTTGTTATCCTAACAAGCAAAGCTCCTGTATGCTTTTCAAAGCACGCAAGTTCAGGATATGCAAAACAATAGTGATCTCTTACTCTGAAGGAAGAACATAATTCGCAGTATTTAAAATACAGTACTTAGAAAAAATGTTGTATTAGAGTAGGCTGACATAAGGGAGCAGTTTATGATATTACAGACAGTGAATTCATACTGCTTTGTACAGGACATCCAGGATTATTAGGATACAGGAAACCGAAGCGCATACCGCGGCTGATTCGCAAAGTACCAGCCAGAACAATGCTATTTTCTGAATGACATATTTAATTTTTAAAATTAATACATTAATTATAATTAATATAATTAATTATTATAAATATATTATATATTATATTATAATATATAATATATTATAATATAATATATTATATTATAATATATATTATTATAAATTAATTATTATAATTATAATAAAATGTGTATTCCTTCAAGTTCTACTTATCACGTTCTAAGTATTGAGATTGTGTAAGATATTTTTAGACTGTTTGAAGTTTTTATGTTTGTAACCAGAATCGATTGGCCAGTATAGTGACTAGACTCGAAGGTTTCCCACAAAGAGCAGAGATTTTTACAGTTCCACCGCATCCAGCCCGCTTCTCTGGCCCACGCATTCTGCTATCCATTGGATACTTGGAGCTGTTTTCCTAGGGGCAAAAAGTCTGACGACTCACCTTGATATAGCGCGAAGGTCAAGAATCGTGGCTCTGTGCCTACACTCTCCCATTCGTCTTCATGACCTGACGCCTGATTAATTAAGCGCATGGACAACTTTACCCTGAGATAATTTCGTTGTGTTTTCTAGTGGTTGTAAATAGGGTACTACAATTTTATGTATGCAAAATTCTGAGGGCAGGCCGCTTTAGTGCGAGGATACAGTTTCCTTTGTACAACTTGCCTCACAAGAATTGTGTTCTGAAGATGGTGGAGAGTATGTTCAGTCTAAGTCCTTAGAAATGTTAGATGTAAAATCCACAGGCAGATTTTACTGTACGGGCACACTAGTCATGATATGTCTTGCTAATGTGTTTTGTAGGTACTCATTAAGTCTGTCTGTTGGGACAGAGACTAATGTCTGTCCCAGATGTCGTTAGATTGCTCTTATTTTAAGCATATGCGTGCAGGCATCACCATGGTAACTTACCATGAGCATTCGCCAGATGTCAGATTTCAATCCTTGTAATATAGAATTTTTAATTACAGGAAACAGTAAGAAAGATCAAGTACTCCCTGTTACTTTCTCTTAGGTCTAAATACTCGTACTTCCTCAGTGTTCTTCTAAGACTCACATACATTGACCTGTATTCTTTGTTTCACAGAAGCCACAAAAGGTCACTAGTGGCCCCATGGTGACCCAGGGAAACCTGAAGACTGCACTCAAGGAGACTAAGCCATCTCTGTCAGACATGGAGAAGTTCAAGTATCATTTAATGTGAGTATATAATTATATTATTTTTGGTTTCCCATCATGAATAGTGAAAACTGTATGGCCAAATTAATTAATAAGTTAAAAGGATGTGAACATTCTTAGCACCAAATTGTATGATCTGAATTTAGTTTCGAAGTTTGCAATTCTGTGTAGTTGGTAGTTAAAAACTGTTGAGTTCTTCAGAACGTTGTCACAATTAATAGCATGAGATTTCCAGGCTGTGTGTCTTAAGGCAGTTCTGTTTACACATATTGCAAAACATTTAGGTTACTGCCAATTAGTGGCCACAAAATGAACAGAAGCTCAGTAGAGATTAATTTTCATTAAACAGGAAGCATAATAAATAAATAAAATGCAGGAAAAGTATTATAGACAGGTACCTATCAACCAAACTACCAAGGGTTTTGGGTTTTGTTCATCTACGTGTATATTTATTAAGTGTGCTTTCAATTAATTGATTTTAATGAAAGTTTGTATTGGCATTATTTCACTGAAGGTGTGAGCAGCATGACATTTAAGCTGTATCTCTTAGGACTTAAGAAAATAACTGAAACCAAGAATCATATGCTCTGTTTTGTAACACTGGAAGCTGAAGCTAGTAATTTTGGTAGGACACAACTTATGCTTCAGATAATTCAACGCGTGCATATCTTCCATTTCATCCACGCTTAAATATTAAGCATCATGACATATTTCTTTTTGTATAAAATATGAAATTCAGTCTATTTTCATTTCAGTTATGAAAAGTTTGAACGTTCACATGGTGGAACTTCAGCTGAAGATGTGGCCTCCATGCCTCAGAGAGCAACTCTAGCATGATGACAAAATTATGTATGAGATCAAAATAATCCCAGCCTAAAAATATCCTTCTCCCTTCTTGTTTTCTTGTAATGAATTTTATCTTTTGCGGTTGGTGGTTTTACATGGTGAATGCATTCTAACAATAACTGCGTAATGAACACTACAGTTAAGTGGGTAGGTGGTAGGAAACATAAAGCAGAAAAGTCGCCTTTTTATACATACTAGATGTTCCACTTGGTTTCAAAAGAAAAATATTGAAGTGGCTGGGACATGTGATTAGAATGGATCAAACAAGAGAGGCTAAGAATAATTTTGAAAGTAAGCCAGAAGGTAGAAGACCAGTGTGCAGGTCCAGATGTAGTTGGCTGGAAGGCGATGGAAATGACATGACAGCTGAAGGTAAAGAGATGGAGGCTGAAGACAGATGTTAGAAAAGAATGGGCATTTGACTAAGTGAGAACTTGCAAGAAAGGTTCATCAGCAGTTTTCTTGTATCTCACAGCAAAATGTTAAAGTCAGAGCATTTTCATTCTTTTGGAGGTAGGAAAGAAAGGACAATTGCATGCTCTCTGGTGTGGAAATCTATTTAATATATGTTTAAAAATGTCCTGTACTACTGTAACATATCCAGGCACACCAAGATTTAAATTGGCACAACACTATTCAGTATAGTTGTTACTCACTCTGTTCCTACATGTGATGACGATGTCAAGTATATCTGAGATGCTTTGCTTTGTTCCCAGTTAATGTTATTGAAACATCATTTCTTCGACAAGTCACAGTAAAATTAAGTCCATTTTTATCAAGCCTGATGGGAAAAGATTTCCATATCTACCATGAGCAAAATGAATCACAGTTTATGCTGAAGACACATTTTCTGTAAATCTTAAATAACTAAAGAAAGGGAGTAAATATTCCAGAATTGTTAAATTCTTTAAGTCCTGTAAGTGGAACAGTGTACCATCACATGCTTCAAATTATTCTTGCCCCACAGTTCAAAAGTGGCCACCCACAAAGAGTTACATGTTGTAGTGAGAGTTTGTATGTGCATCTGCATTAAAATTCTGAAGTTGCACGTAGCAAGCAGAGGCTGCTGTGCTTGCTACCTGCTTCATGCTGGTTTTTTCCTTGGTTTATCCTTCGACCCTGAAGATGTAGGCGAAATTTTTTTGAGAAACATCGGTTGATTTCCGATAGACCGCATGGCGTTATATTCGAGTGAACATAACTCTTCATAAACACGGCTGTGAGAAGCTCACATCCTTCATGTGTTTGTATTGTTTTTAAATTGTAATTCTCCATTACACACAGGCAGTACTTTATGTGAGAGGCTGTAATGGGAGCGGCAGGGAGGTGCTACATACCGAGACATCATCCTGTTCATAATCTTTCCCAGTTCACTTGGCTGAAGTGAACTTCCCTTCTCTTCGCGTCTTCAACTCCACTTCCTCACCCTCACCATCAGCCATCCGTTCCCAGCATTTTCGTACTGTTGTTCGCTTATTTAAAGTTTGTTCTATGTATGTAGTGTTTACGTTGTAATATATTGCAGAACACTTAACAGAATTGTGATAAACTTCGGTGTAAGTTAATTACATGCTTTAATGGACTCCTGCTCGCTGCCACACTTTACCAGCTACATACCAGGAAGAAGAAGATGTGGGGGAATGGTTTTTGAGTTTGAAAATTAGCAAAATAGGTTCATTTATTACTTAGAGTGTGTTTCCGGGGGAAGAGGTTTCACTGGAAAATTACACAAGTTGCAGAGTTGTTAGTGCTCGTCTTCAGATCACGATAGTTATCAGGGTTGGTTAAGGAGAAATCGGTTGAACATCTCCAAGTTACGGCAGAGTTTCCAAGTTCCTATATTGCTTATAGCTTCTGGTTCTGGATTCTTTTGCGCGTGGGTCCTAATACAGTGTGTAACGAAAAACAAAAGTATAGCTTAGCGTAACAGTTCTGGAGCAATCGCTCTATTATTGCGTCTAGCCCAGTACGGGGTTCTCGTCTTATTGAAAAAGAATTTACCGGGCCGCGGTCTGACAAAGTTGAGAACCACTGGTCTAGGTTTTCAGGTCGCGAATACAAAGTTTCAGTGATCTCTGAAACGGTGGTCCAGATGGCCGGTTAAAAATCAGTCCATCGGTTTTCGAGTTGTTGGATGTCTGTATAAATATTACTCTTGTTTCATTATCCATACAACTTGGGGGGGTGGGGAATCGTATGTTTGATTTATCTTTACAACTTTTGTTCGAAACATTTTTAGCACTGATAAATATTTAGCAACCTGCGCACTGAAACGCATGCAGGCCTTACTGTCATGTCGCTTATTATGTTGCTTGCTGCCTTGTTTTTGCCGGTTTCTTGCTTGGCTTAATCTTCAACCCCGAAAGTGGAGGCGATACGTTCTTCCGAAACATCCGTAGACTTTGCCAAACTACGCAGCGTTACACCCCAGAAGGTTGGACTTTGCCGAGTGTAACGAAACGTAGCATTCCCTGCACACAAATCTGCACTGAAGTTTCAGAATTGTTGTTTTTGTTCGTCTCTGCAGTCTTAGGCTCACATTTTATGGCCTTATAACACAGTTCTGTTGGGAGATATATAAAGAACGTTTTGTTCCCACAATAAAACGGACAGTTGTCTTCGGAACTTTTCATATACAGGGCGATTCACGAGGAGTTACAGCCACTTATGGAGCTCATTTCTGAAGACATTTTGAGCAAAATATGCCATATAAACCTGGGTCTTATACTCGATATTTACAGAGTTACGTTCGTAATTGGAAACGCAATACTGTGAACGGATGGCCAGACCTTTCCCCGTTAGATCATTGCATTTGGGGATGGAAAGAAAGGCACAAATACGTGAGGAACTACTTTGCTATTGCTAGTGGGGTGGGACTAAGTCCCTTGTACCTCGGCCACTTCTGGGCTATTGTACCAGCCTCAGATGACAGGTGAGGGTGATTGTGGAGCAGTTGGTAGAATGATGATAGGCAGGGGAAACCGAAGTACTCGGAGGAAACCTGCCCCAGCGTCACTTTATCTACCACAAATCCCACTTGACTAGACCCCGGGATGGAACCCGGGCCGGCGCTGTGGGTTTCCAGCGACTAACCGCTTGAGCTATGACGCGGCCTTAGTTGAATCTTACTTTCTCGGCTGATGGTTCAAGAAAGTTACAATTTTCCACGATGGACACGGTCGTTTTCCGTTTGAGATGCCCCATGTCCACCGCGTAAAAGGAAAATGTGTGCGGAAGCTACAAGCACTTTCAGTTCTACACAGTTTGTGCAGTTTTTCCGTTTCCCATTTTATGCCCTTTGAACATTAATAAGGATAAATCCATAGACAGGTAGTTTGCTCATAAGGCGGCGGTTATTGGATTCATTAATAGAAACCCCCCCCCCATCCCTACCTTCTCCTGGAACATATTACTTTCACCCCTCGTTCTGGTGCTTGCAATGTGAAGCAGTGTTCATTTTCATGCTTCATTAACGGTACTGGATTTCGTGTGTAATTTATTTTGGTAACCACTACACGATTTGTTGAACCCTTTTGACCGTAGTAAATACAGAAAACATCGTTTCGCTTGGAAAGCATATGTCAACATTGAATCTGTCTTACACATTTTTGCTCCATTTCGATGATATACTGCCCTGTTTCCAGTCCATTATTAGCTCCGAAGGACACATGATTTGTAAATTATGAGTGTTCTAAGTATTTTTAGAGACTAACTTTCTAAATTTGTGATTTAATCAGAATTTCTTATGTAACATTTGTTCAAAATTATATCAGGGAGATTTAATGTTCTTATTGCTGTGAATATTAAGATCACGATCTTCTGTGGTGTCACACCCTGCAGTCTGATAGATGCTTACCAGAGTACATGGCGTCATATCCTAGGCGAGCCTTATGGAGATAATCACTCAGCACTATCTCTCTATGGCTCTACAGCCCTTGTGGACCTTCGAGCTTTTTCAGTTTCTTAATCTATGCACAGTCGGTGGGACTCCTTGGACGGGGGATCAACCCGTCACAAGACCGCCACCTACTCACAGAACAACACAAACAGAATAAACGCAGACCTCCATAACTCGAGTGAAATTCGAACCCATGATCCCAGTGTTCAAGTGGGCGAAGACGGTTCACGGCGCTGTCACTGTGAACGGTGATCACTCAGCACTAATACATATATATATATAAACCTCTTTATGCTGTACATTATTATTATTATTATTATTATTGCTCCCGCTGCTGCTGTTAAACCTGCAGCAAGTCCAGTGGGTAAGGATGGGGCTAACGGAGGCAGCTCGACATGCACTTAAACATGGCCTCTTTCAGTGATGTGAGCACAAGTCTTCGGCCATGTCGCATCTGAATTTCGGTAACTCTCTTGGCATTTACTATCAAAACGTTAGAGGTCTTAGGACCAAACAACTTGAATTTTATGACAACGTGTGCGCCTCCAATTACGACACAATTTGTCTGTCCGAGACAGGGCTCAACGACCTGTGCTACGGTCACAATCTGTTTCCTAACCAATACACCGTTTACCGGTCTGACCGGCCGTATATAAACAAGGCTCACGGTGGTGGGATGTTAACAGCCATTACCGCTAGCCTGGGCTCCTGCAGTTGCAGGTCGCAGAACTCTGTTCTGAATGTGTGTGGGTCGAGGTTCCCACTGCTGATGGCATAAACATGCTTATTGGTAACCATTACTTCTCCCCTGACACCAAACCGGAAGTCATTACTGCCTACTTTCGGCAACTTGAAAACAATCCAGACGCGAACAGTACTCGCGTCATGTTACTCGGTGACTTCAATGCTCCTGGATTCAACTGGGAGAACGGGACACCTCTTTCTAGTTATCATTATTATTCTAAACTCAAATGGGACTCTATATACACCTCTACATGTTTTCTTGGCCTAAGGCAGTGCGTTGAGGCTGCTGACACTGTTAACATGCTTGGCCTAGCCTTTGCAAATTTCACTGATCTAAAGTGTGTTCCTGCCGGTCACGGTAGCCGAGCGGTCTAAGGCATGTACTGTCTTCGCTCGCTCGGAAGCCGGGATCGTGGGTTCGGATCCCACTCAGGGCATGGATGTTTGTGTGCGTTTTTCTGTGTTTGTGTACAGGTAGAGGCCTTGCGACGAGCTGATCACTCGCCCAAGGAGTCCTACCGTATGTGTAAGATCTAGAAAAACCGAAGTGAACGAAGTTCATGGAGGTAGGCCTAGGCCCACTGGGGCTCTAGTGCCAAGGAAAAAAAAAGTCTGTTCCTGCCGACTCTGGATTGGTCGCGCCTGATATATGTCACCCTCCTTTGAATATTGATGTGCTGTTACCTAATGTTAACAGTAATTTAAAATGCGAGTTCAGTTATCAAAATTTCGCAGCAGGGAACTACGCTTTGCTTTACAACATTCTATCAACTTATGATTAGTCAAGCGTGTATGAAACCTCTTCTGTTGACGTAGCAGTCGCCAGCCTCAGTGTTGCTGTCAGAAGTGCCATGGAGCAGGTAATTCCTTGTGGGTATCGCTGCAAGTCTTAATTTCCTCACTGATTCTCCTATACCTTAAGGTATTACATCACCAAGACAAATTGTTTCCACCGTCGTTTAAAAAAAAATCCATCCGATTTTACGACAGGTTCGCCTATTTTCGAAAATTAGTTAAAAACACCATCAAGTCAGACAGGCTTAGGTGGTTGAAGTCAGTTGATAACAGTTTAAAGTCACAGCCCCAACATTTCTGGGAATACATGTTTAATTTCAGAAAACGTAGATCCGGTTCCATTCATCTAGAAGCTGATGGTACACACCTAGTCCAGCCCGAAACTGTTGCTGATGCATTCGCTAAGCACTTTCAATCTGTTTACAATAACCTCTACTGTAAGGTCATTCACCCTGTCTCGCAATCTTCTGAATTTGTATCCCTTACCCCCATTTCTGATGCTGATGTCTACAAAGCCATCAAGAGACTAAAACCATCAAAATCTGTTGGACTTGACGGTATTCCTGGTTTTATCATCAAAGGTTGTGCAGGTATTTTTATTCCTATACTTAGGCATATATTTAACTTGAGCCTGACGCAGCAGTATTTTCCTGCTGCATGGAAAGAATCTGCTGTTGTACCGGTATTTAAAAGAGGCAATCATGCCGCTGTGAGCAACTACAGGCCTATTTCTATTATCAGTAATTTCTCTAAATTGTTTGAATTCATTATTCATGACCATGTTTCTCATTTCGCTAAATTTAATTCCAACCAACATGGCTTTACCAGAACTAAATCTACAGTTACCAATTTGGTGACGTTTCTCGACTTCTTGACGCCTGTTTTCCGCGGTCAGCGTCAAGCTGATGCCGTCTATTTTGATCTTTCTAATGCTTTTGACCTCGTCCCTCATAATATGCTCTTGCATAAATTAAGCTCCTTCGGATTCTCTGATGCTTATGTTAGCTGGTTTCGCAGTTACTTAGCCAACAGACAGTCTCGGGTTCGCGTTTCTGGCACTCTCTCCCTGCCTTTTCATGTAACGTCCGGGGTGCCGCAAGGCTCTGTTCTGGGGCCTTTCTTTTCAACGTATTTACAAATGACCTATGCGACTCCGTTAACTACTGTAAATTTCTAATTTTTGCCGATGATCCAAAAATTCTCCGCATTATTAACTCTCCTCATGATTGCCTCTTACTTCAATCTGACATTAATTCCGTAAGTGACTGGTGCACTGCTAACTCCATGAAACTTAATATTGCTAAAACGCGTGTTGTATCATACACCAGAAAAACAGACTTTCTGAGCTACGACTATCAGCTTTGTCATGCTATCATTACACGCATCAGCAGTATTAAGGACCTGGGTGTTTTCTTTGATTCAAAGTTACATTTTCACACACATGTTAATTACATATTTTCTGAATGGATAAAGCTTTTAGGTTTTCCTCCATGGAGAGTCTGTATGTACGACATTTTACTTTAGTCAGGTCCAAGTTGGAATATGCCTCAGTAGTTTGGAACTCCATCACCTCGACTGATGCCAATAAGCTTGAGCGCATCCAGCAGAAGTTTGCGTCCGTCTGTTTTTATCGTTTTTTCCCTCATATTTCATATAGTTATATTGATGCTTTAGAGAAATTAAGTCTGCAAACTTTACTAAACGGAGACATCACCTTGATGCACTTTTTCTTGTTCAGGTCTGTCGCCATCCTAAATCCTGCGCTCCTCTTTTGGAAAACGTTAGCCTTCGCGTTCCTACTCGCAATGTTAGGGACTTCTCATTGTTTGGTGTTTGTCCCTCTAATAAACACTGTCCTTCTGCTCAGTGCGCCTGCGCTGCCAACGCGGTGGGCAAAGATCTCGACATATTTGCAACCGGAACAGTTTCTGTCAATCATATTTCGCATGTAAATGAACAAAAAGTTGGAATCAATGTGTTTACACATTAATCCATTAAAACTTGAATTGTTTTATATTTTATTGCTGCCATGTCTATTCCAATCAAATTGAAATTGTATATACTTTAATTTTCGCACTTCTCAATGATAGGTTTGATTTATGTTGATAGAGTTATTGTTATAATTATTAATTGAGTTATTATTATTATTATTATTATTGTATGCTGCTCTATTTGGAACTCAAATTCTCACATTGTGGCTTTGTCTGTGTATGTTTCCTTCTGTATCTTATTCATGGTAACTGTGTAATTATCATTTTTGTATTTTGTTTTTTAATTATTTTTGTGTATTTCTCTATTCGTGCTAGCTTTGTAATTGGCCTCTGCGCTGTTAAGTTTGCACGTAAATAAACATGAATTGAATTGAATTATTATTGTGGATTTGCATCCCTTTTGTTGGGCCCTGGCCGATTTTTCAGTTTCTTGATCCTATACACAGTCGATAGGACTCCTTGGACAGGAGATCAGCCAGTCGGAAGGCCTCTACCTACACACA